TAATATTGCATGAGTTCCTTGTTTTTCAGTGCAGCGTAGTATTCCATTGTGTGACTAGACCACAGCTTCTCTAGCCATGCGTTTGTGGATGAACAGTTAGGTTCTTTCCAGCTCCTTGCTATTGTGAACAGAGCTGCGATAAACATGGGTGTGCATCTATCTGCTTGCATGTCAGTTATGGTCTCTCTGGGGTATATTCCCAGTAGTGGAATCGCTGGGTCAAATGGGATCTCTATTTGCGACTTTTTGAGAAAACACCACACTGCCTTCCCCAGTGGTTGCACCACTTTACACTCCCACCCGCAGTGAATAAGGGTTACAGTTTCTACATACCGTCACCAGCATTTGTTGTTTGCTGCTCTGTTAAATTTTGCTATTCTGACTGGAGTGAGATGATATGGCCCAGATACTTAAAAGTGGGGCCTGAGGTATTACTTTTTAATGCATTGCTACCATATTTTGGAGGAACATTCTTCTAAGTCATACAGCAGCCTGGCTAATTAGCTGTGCTGAGGTCACCTGGGTTTGCTGTGAGCCTGAACCTTGTGCCATTGGGGGTCTCAAATGCCATAATGCAACAACTGTACCACAGGTGTGGCCAACACCACAATGTCTACCCATGGTGGGCAGTGTGTGGTGGAGCTCACAGATTGATTCAGGGTTGGAAGTAGGAGTGGCATCCACGTCCTAAAGCAAACGACTCTGGAAACTCGATGAACTTGGAGAAACGACAATAGACTTCAGGCCTTTTGTTGATAGACATATAGACACACAGACAGGGGGGGGGGAGAGAGGTCAGACAGGATAGATAGATATCTATCAACAGAGAGAGAGACAGACAGACAGACAAATAGACAAATAGACAGATAGGTAGACAGGATAGATAGGTAGACAGGATAGATAGATAGATAGATAGATAGATAGATAGATAGATAGATAGATAGACAGACAGACAGGATAGATAGAAAGAGAAAGATAGATAGATAGATAGATAGATAGATAGATAGATAGATAGACAGACAGATAGGTAGACAGACAGGATAGACAGATAGATAGATAGACAGGATAGATAGATAGACAGACAGACATATAGACAGACAGGATAGATAGATAGATAGATAGATAGATAGATAGATAGATAGATAGA